CAGATTTATGGTTCTGAGGCCGGCTGGTAGTCAGGTTTCCCGAATTCTGTGGTAGTTCTCAGAGAGGCTGATTCCATCAACAGCTGTAAAATATCAAAGTACTAACAGTGCCACGTTGCGCATGGATGGTGTCCCTGTTTGTACTTTTGGTGTGAGTTGCCAAGACCACATCGGAGCCCTTTGTTACGACTTAGGGTTTAATAATAGTAATGAGGCAATTGCTTGGGCTATTAAACAGTGTACTGAGTACTATCTATATTTGGAGTCAAGTACTTTAACAAATTTAAAAACAAATAAAGTAACAAAAACCATAAAACACAAAAAACCGCAATCATCACCAAGATCGCTAAACCTATCATTCACTAATATTCGTGTGTAAAGTAACTTTTCTTCTGTCGAGTCTTATCTCTTGCAAAGTTCACCAGACCTACTTGCTTTTGTGAGACTAATTTGAGTTCAGCTGTCTCATCTTGTAATCTTAGTGTTAATGGTTATCTTCCTTTAACTCGTAAAGACTCCAATAGCCACATGCTTGGCCTAGGCATTTATATTTGTAAGAATTCACCCATTTGTCAAGAAACTAGGTTTGAATCCACAGACTACTCTTTTATGTGCTTTCGTTTAGCACCACTTCACTCTATCACCTTTCTCTTTGTTCTATATCGCTCTCCTTCATCTCAAGACTGCACTCTTCTTGATGTTATTTCTGATTATATTGACCAAGCCCTCATTCTTTATCCATCAGCCAATATTATTGTTGTCGGTGACTTTAATGTTCATCACACTGAATGGCTTGGCTCTAGTGTCAGTGACTCTGCAGGCATTAAGGCCCACAACTTTTGCCTTTCTCAATCCCTAACTCAAACAGTCAACTTTCCAACTCGCTTTCCAGACAACCCAAATCATTTACCTTCTCTACTCGACTTATGTCTTGTTTCTAATCCTAGTCAGTGCTCAGTTTCACCACACTCACCCTTAGGTGCCTCTGATCAAAGTTTGATCTCTCTAAAACTATTATCTCACTCTTCTTTATCATCAGACTAACCCTATCATTGCACATCTTACAACTACCTTAAAGCTGACTGAGACTCTTTCTGTGATTTTCTATGTGATGGTCCTTGGGTTGAAATCTTTTGTCTTCCTGTTGACATATGTGTTTCTTACATAACTTTGTGGATTCAGGCTGGCATGGAATCCTTTATTTCCTCTCGACAATTCCAGGTCAAGCCTCACTCTTCTCCATGGTTTTCCTCACATTGTGCTGCTGCAATTACCAATCGAAACTATAACTTCCATATCTATCAGCAAAACAATTCTCCAGAAAACAGCTGTCTGTTTATAACTGCTAGGAACCATTGTAAAAAGGTTTTATCTAATGCAAAAGCTTACTATGCATTTTTGAAAATAGGGAAAACAGATGCTGCTTTCCAGCAGGCTGGAAAACAAAACTCTGATAAGCACTTGTTAAATAGTTTTGAATGTATAGACAACAGCTTCAGAGAACACTTCTGCAAGACTAACATATATGTTAGTCATATATGACTGAGAGCTGTAGAAGAGTCTTAGCACAAAACCACTTTTGATGCAGAAGCTGGATTGATATGAATGTCAAGCAATGGATCAACCTGTTTGACGATGATATCAGGTAGAACGCAACTAGTAAAATGGAACGATAATATTGATTAAAAGTTTTTAGCATATAAATATGATGCATTAATTGCTAAGACCTTTTTATCAGTACCATCTCTTGATTCCACTAGTTGTGTTCTGCCTTATATAGTTGTCAAATAGGTTTATCCGTTGGTTGACATTCGTATCATTCCAGCTTCTGTACCTAAAGTGATTGCCTGCTTAGACTCTTCTACAGCTTGTGGCCCAGACAACATACCTGTTATAGTCTTGCAGTAGTATTCTCCGGAGCTGTTATCTATCTTTTCAAAACTGTTCAACAAGTGCTTATAAGAGTCTTGTTTTCCAGCCTGCTGGAAAGCAGCATCTGTTATCCCTATTTTTAAAAATTCTAGAGAGTAATCTGATTTGTCTAACTACCGTCCCATTAGTCTTCTTCCTGTCATAAGCAACGTTTTTGAACCTTTAATTAACTAATACTTAATCTCTCATCTTGAATCTAATAACTTGCTTTCTGATCATCAATACGGATTTCGATCTTCTCTTTCTACTGCTGATTTGCTAACAGTAATAACCAATAGGTTTTATTGCGCATTAGATAAAGGTGGAGAGGTTAAGGCCATCACTATTGACATTTCTAAAGCGTTTGATATAGTTTGGCATGCTGGTCTTCTCCATAAGCTTTCTTCTTACGATGTATCTGGAAACATCTTTATTATTAGATTATTGAATCCTTCCTTTCTAATCGTAGTATAAAAGTTGCCCTCGATAGACAGCACTCTTCTTCTTATTATGTAACCTCAGGGGTTCCTCAAGGTTCAATCCTTGGCCATATACTCTTTAATTTACATTAACGATCTTCCAGATATTCTCACATCTAAGGTGGCATTATTCGCTGATGATGCTACCATTTATTCTTGTCACGATAAGAAGCCAACTCCCTCTGATTGCTTGCAGGGGGCATTTGAACTTGAAAAGGATCTCACTTCTGCTACAGCATGGGGCTCACAGTGGCTGGTGAACTTTAATTCAGATAAAACTCAATTTTTTTCAATCAATCATCGCAATAATTTAGACCTTCCTATATTTATGAATGGTAATGTACTTGATGAGTCATCTACCCTTCATCTTCTAGGATTAACTCTTACTTCTGATCTTTCTTGGAAAACTTATATCAAATCCGTTGCAAAATTAGCATCTGATAAAGTTGCATCTCTTTATCGAACTCGACACTTTTTAACTCTGGATTCTATTCTCTATCAGGATTAGAATGCCATTTATTTCCCTTTGTTTTAAAACTGGTCATTTAAAGTTTTTTCTTAACAGACACTCAAATGCTCCATTAGTTTAACAGAGACAAATGAAAAGAGCTGCTAACCCCTCTAATTATCATCTGATCAGTCTTCTTCTTTTATAAGCTGTAACAATACAGTTTTCAATCTTTTTACTCTACAGCCTTCGACAAAGTTCGGCATGCTGGTCTTCTTCATAAGCTTGCATCATACAGTGTATATGGGAAAGTTTTTGAAATTATTAAACTGTTTTTTTTTACTACTTTATAAAAGTCATCCTCGAAGACCAACACTCTTCTTTATTTCCAATAACTTCTAATGTCCCTCAAGGTTCTATAATTGGTCTTGTTTTTTTTTCTTATCTACATTAATGATCTTCCTGACAATCTTACACCTAAAGTTGCTCTTTTTGCAGATGAATCAACTCTATACTGCTGTCTTGACAAAAAGTCTTTTATTTTTAATTGCTTAGAACAGGTAGCCAATCTTGAATCTGATCAAATTTAGGCTTGCAGTATTTTTAGAACTTTAACTCCAATAAAACTCAGTTATTTACTGCAAACAACTATTGCAATACTGTCAACATTCATATATGAATGGCAACCTTCTCACTGAGTCCTCTTCTTTATGTCTGCTTGGATTATACTTAATTACTGACCTATCATGGAAACCATACACACAATTATTTGCTAAATTAGAATCGAGGTTGTTCTCTTTATTGTGCTCGCCATTTTTTACTCCTGATTCCATTCTCTACCTCTACAAACCTCTAATTCAGCCCTGTATAGAATACTGTTGTCATATTTGGGCTGGTTCTTCAAATAATGTTCTTTCTCTTCTAAACAAGGTTCAAAAACGCATTGTAAATGAAGTTGGACCAGCTCTATTTGCCAAGCTTGAGTCTCTCTCCCATCGTTACAAAGCATCTTTTTCTCTTTCATCTTTTAAACTTGAGTCTCTCTCCCATCGTTATAAAGCATCTCTTTCTCTTTCATCTTTCAAGCTTGAGTCTCTCTCCCATCGTTATAAAGCATCTCTTTCTCTTTCCTACAAATATTATAATGAGTTATGATCTCTAGTTTCATCAACTTCATTCTGACTCGTCATTCAGCAAAGTCTCAGTCTTTTTCTGTCTCTGCATGCTCTATACACTTTTATTTGTCTATTTTTTTTCCCTACACTTTAAGCCTTAAGAACATTCTCCCATCTACATGTTTTCCTGACTCATACACCAAACATCTTTTTAAGTCTTCTGTCAACCATTTTCTTACTCTATAAACCTATTCTTTTTATTCTTTTTTCTTCACTTCAAGTAGTCCCCACTGAAGTACTTCTCACTGAGGAGTACTTCAGTGGGGACTGAAATCCCCACTGAAGTACTCCTCAGTGAAACTTTAGTGGCACTGGCAAAAAGATACACTTTTACATAGAACTCACCCTGCCACAGAAGCTTGTAAGCATTTAGTTACATGAAATGACGTTGAGGCCAATGGCCCCTGATCTGGAAATTTAGTTGACCTCAATCCCATTTTAAATTGCTGAAACTCTCAAAAATGAAGACCAAAAACTGAGACCCTAATTTTCCAATGATCTACAAGATAAAATAAAGCAGGTAAAGATTCAACTTCTCACTCCTAAATATTTGAACCTTACTCACTCTATGCCTTTTACTGTTTTTTTACTGTTTGAAATCTCAAGGACACCATACTAAATATTAAATTAATGAGCAAATATTAAATTTTATTTTAAAGTTGTTCTTTTTGTCAAATTCATGAATATAAACATTTTGAAATATTAAGTAAATAATTTAGCAAAAACCATGTTTTATTATACCATGTTTTATTATACAATGTTCTACACTTTTGATTGCGTCCATATATTAAACTAGCATACACAGCATAAATGCATTTAATTTACCTTTTTTAAATAAGGAAAATTTAAATTTAATTTTTTGTCTTTTTTGCACTAAAGTAAATGAATAAAAAACATGAAACCATAAGACCACAAAAAAGAACTGAAAAAAAAACACTCCAATGAACATATTTAAATATAATAATTAAAAATATATATTTATAATACCTGTTGGAAGCATAATAATGGGTTGTGTTTCACTACCTAAAAATTAAAAGTGTATGAAAATTATGACCAATTGAAAAAACTGTTATAAAAACAAATTTTTTCAATTGAGTGTATCTGTCTTGTCTATTTAACACTTTCAAGCTTAAGCACACAATTGTTTTTTTTGTTTGCACACACTTTTTTCAAAACATCCCTAAAAACTTTTTGTCATTTTTCAAGTACTAACCTTTAAAATGAGTAAAAATTATGAAATGATTCCAAACCAAATAAACTAATTTTTTTATTTATGTAATTGTAATGACATACTAAAACTACCAGCAAACCCCAAGCAAATGGTAATTATTTCAGAAAAGTTTACTTTTCTAAGTATGTTATCAATTGAGGCTCCAAACAAAAAAATGGGATTTACTTCAACAATGTTAGATGCTTTTAAAACAAGATTTATGTTTTAATGATCCTATATTTACAAAAAATGAACCTAAGAAACTAGTCATTTAATAAAACTTAACATACAGCATGATTGATTACCTATTATTATTTTACAATATCACAAATTTATGTGTACCTATAAGTATCCCAGCCTCTCTTAAAAGTACCTATGCTTTTAAAATTACCTTCCCCTTTCCCTCTTTGTAAATTGCAAAAATTTTATTTCAGAAAAAATTTATAAAATTTTATAAACTAGGAAATATATTTTAAATTATAATGTCCATACTTTTATAAATGACTTTTCAAATAAAATGTTTGTTTATAACAAATATAAATTTTAATCTTTAAATATATATAATAGGGTTATGACTTTTTACCAACTACATGCTTCTGTACTGTAGTTTGATGAACTTTTTCCTAAAAAGCACAAAATGAACAATTGTTTGCATATCTTTTTAAAAAAGTTCACCCCGCTATTGAAAAATCGATTTTGACATAAGTACTACTATGTATTCAAATTTATTTAGAATGTCATAGTCATGTAATACAATAAATTTTCAATCCAACAATGACTCAGACCACTGACCTTGCTCTTGCTTGTTGTACAGAAGGTGCAATTTGTCTTTATTTTTGCATGATGAATAAATTTCCTCCATTACTTTGATTGCGTGCTCTGCGAATTGATTACTTATGGGTATCTTTAGTATGAATGGCTCCCGCTTCCAGTGATTTTTCAAAAAGCTTAAAGCCTTTTTGTATGGGTTCAGTATTTCAGCCAAGTTATTAAAGTCGTTTTCATTGTACAGTTGGTCTGTAAACCAATGGTCTGCCCAGCCATACAATATAAATCGACATAAATCGACAAAACTGTCCTTGTTGAAGGAATTAAGATGAAGTCCAGGATCACTAGTATAGCTCTGGAGTTCCACCTTGCATTGCTTATGTTGGGTATTTTCTGAAACCTGATCAATGGAAAATGTCCTTTTTCTTCAAAAAATTGGAACACTCAAATGAGATGAAACAAAAATTTCATATTATCTCTCCAGCCAGATGTTTTGTAATAAAACTGTGTTTTCAGTTGTTCATACTCCTTCAACAGCTGAGATACAAATGGATATTCGATGTTTTGCAATTGTGTTTTACTTCCAAGTTCTTCATCCATTACTAAACAGAGGATTCTATCAAATACCTGGTGTTGACAACTGATAAACTGATGTTTGTTGATGCATTTCTCTGTGAACATTCATTGCAATATTACAACAACGCCATTCTTTTTTCCATTGTAAATGATGGTGGTATCTGCAACAGTTATCTGTATTGAATTCCATAGGTGAAAATTATTGTGGAATTTAGAAATTCCTTGAGCAATAGTTAAAGCCCTGCGATGTACCAAGCAAGGACATCCAGTTTGATTTCTCTTCTTTCATTTTTAAGGATGACCACTTGATAATTCATTCTGTCAATGTGCATGCCATCAAAGTGTAAGGACCAACTTTCCATATGCAACCTTTCAATCATTTCTTTCTTCAGCTTTATCACGTCTGATTTTTTACTTATTGACATGGAGTTGGGATGTCAATGCCTTCACAAGCCAATTGCTTGAATATGTTAGCAGCTTTGTTTGTTGATACTCTTGTCGAGGTCACCAAGTTGACTGCAATTTTGTTTTTATGATGTTTTCTGCTTGGTGTAGGAGTTGTCTCATCTTTTTCTTCATTGTTTTCATATTCACTGTCGCCAGCCTCTGAGTCAAAATCACTAAAACTAGGATAGTAAGATGGTGAGTTGGATGACACATTAGAAAGTTTTTTTTTTTTAGAGGGACGGATTGTTTCTTTACTGGCCGCTTAGCCTGTAGTGTATCCCACTGTTCCTTTGCTTTTAACTTGGAGATGGTACAATCACTTGTCCTTGGAAGATATCCATGTTCAAACCACTTTAGTAATATCAAAAATTTCATCAAGGGGTTAGTAGCTTTCCCGCTTGACACATTCATCATAATATTTCGGTATTTTATTATGCTTTGCGTAATTTTTTTTTTCATAAGCTTTGTATAACCTGATCAGATACATAAGAAAAATTCAGTTTATTCTTCCACAATTAGTGACTTCTTTAGAAATTTAAACTATTTGATCCTTTCTTCCTTTGATTTTTGGTCCAAGGAAATGGTACCGCCTGATAATTTTCTTTTGGAGAGGCATCCTGCACTTTTCTTCCAGTAAATATTCTTCCAAAGGGACTATTTTATTTTATGAGAGACTTCAAATTTTACCAGATTATTGGTCCAGACATCCTTGTTCTTCTGAATGCTACTATCACTAGGCTTGTACAATACCATGTATTGCTTCTAAATTGTTCCAAAATGTTTTAAATTGTTCTAAAATGTTCTAAAGACTTCTAAAATATTATGTTATTTTCCAAACTGTTCTAAAGTTCTAAACACTTCTAATCTATACAAGTTTTAAATAATTTGCAGGAAAGCCATACATATTAGTAGTAGCAGTAACAAGATTAAATAAATGACGAAACGTAATTTGAATTGCGGGGTGACCTTTTTAACAACCAAGAGGAATTGAACATGTTTTCAATGTTTTCTAACAAAAGTTCATCAATTTATGACAGGAAATTAATTTTTTGATAAAAAGTCAAAAAGTCATAACTCTAATATATAAATGTATATTTGAAGATATATATATATATATATATATATATATATATATATATATATATATATACATATATATATATACATATATATATATATATATATATATATATATACATACATATATATATATATGTATATATATATATATATATACATATATATATATATATATATATATATATATATATATATATATATATATATATATATATATATATATATATATATATATATATATATATATATATATATATATATATATATATATATATATATACATATATATATATATGCATAAATATATATGCATATATATATATATATATTACATTACTTATACATAATATATATGAATTTATTCACTTATATACGTATATTTGTGGACATTTATGTGTTCAAATATATGTATATAAATGAAATGTGTAAATGTATACTCACGTGCATAGGTATAAACAAAACTTTGTTTTAATAAAGTTAATTTATAGAAGCATTTCTATGTTAGTTTGACCGAGAGGTTAATTCATGCAATCCTACACCAAAGGTTCTGTGATCGAATCACAGTCAAGGCAAAGTTTACTTTTTATTTTTAAAAATATTTGTTTTAGTAGGTACACACACCTGCAATATGTTTTTATTGACAATAAAGTAGCTTAACTTTACTTAGGGTGAAGGTTTTATTAGCCCTCCCCCCCCCCCTTCCTTTAGTAATTCCGTGAAAAATGAATCATAGGATAAATGAAAACAAAGCCTAAAACATGTTTTTGGTGGACTCAAAAAAGGTGTTGCCTGAAATACATGTCTGCCTTACTCAGGCCCAGTCTATAAAGGGTAGCATGTGTGTGCAAAGTAGTACTCAAAAAATTAACTTTTCTATTGGTTAGCTGGCAAATTATGAACAATGATCAGGCAGTATGGTTTCATTTATTTTTTTAAATAGTTGCTATTTATTCAAAAACATTTAACTATTAACAAGTCTATTTTAATTGTGATGGACTAGAAAAGCAAATATTACCAAGGAATATTTTTTAATTAGTGTGTACATATTTTCATATCAAACTTCCCACCCCCCTCCCTCCCCTTCCTTCATATGCTTTTGTATGCTATTTGAAAACCAACTTCTTTCTAAGAGCGTACATTTTAAATGGACAGTTTCAAACTAAAATAAATTACAATTTTTGAAAATTATTGAAAGAGAAAGAACTTTATTGAATGAAGTTTGTAATATTATCTTAAAATACAATTGACAAAGGACTTGAATTGCGTTATTATTATAATGCATGAATTCAATAAATCACCTGACTTTAAAAGTTATTTTAATTCGAAAATAACATAAGGTTCATGCATTACTACAGAAGTTATCAAACAAAAATTGTCGATCTTGTTACTAGTTAAGTTGATGAAGCAAAGTTTTCGATATTAATAATTATTAGGCAGATATTAATAAATTATTAAGATTTGAGTGTACATCGTAATATTAATAGATTATTAAGATCTGAGAGCATTGCGTGAGAAAGAGCAAAATTATAATGAGAAAGAGCATGCTAAATCCTATTTATAATAAATGGTGAAAATGTTTGTAATATAAATCTTTTGAAACTTTAAAACTTAAGAAGTAAAATAGATTTAAAAAATAAATTTAACCATAGAGTGATTTAAACATTAGCAAAATCAATTTTTTGCTATATTATAAATAAATAAATAAATTAGAAATGTTTTTTCACTTATTTCAAACGCAAATAATTTATGATGACACTTACTTGAAACACCATTGATGACGAACAAGTTTTTTATAGAGCCATCTAGAACACTTGTCCACGGATCAGAGGCATATACTTTAACACTGTTAAAACTTACAGGTTGATTGTTTATTTCTGAATAGATAACATCTCCATTTATTCTACATGTGATTATAGATGATGTTTTGTTCAATGTAAATTGATATACTTCTATTTTTGTCCACAACTTTAATTTTAAACTTGCATAGATTTGAATTGCTTTAATATCATTACGTGGAAAATTAATTTGTAGACCGTAATAATCACAAAAATAAATTGCAGGAGTTCTATCCCCAGGTTTACTATAATCTTTACCAATAGTAAAATGAATAACACTTTGCCAATAATCAAAATTTGTATTAAGATAAACATCAAATGAAACTAAATACTCTCTGTCTAGTTTTGGTATTATTGCAATAAGTTTTCCTTTCACCAATGGAGTAACAATGTTTCCAACAAGGTATTCTACATAAAAAAAAATTATGTCAAGAACAAAATACGCTAGAGCATTACCAAAAAGTCATCCACGGAAATAGATTGAATGAATATATATGGATATTAAATAAAAATTAATTAAACACCCGGTTATTGATGTTTTATTTGTCCATTGAAAAATATTTAGAACTTAACATTTAAAAAAATTTGATATAGATTAGAAAAATTGTGTGCTGGTGCAAAATAAAAACTTGTAAATCTTTGTGTAATTATTATTTTTATAATTTAGTTTTTTGGTAACTTGTAAGTTATAACATATGTAATGCGAGTACTTTTCAACTATATATTGCTTCAACTTTTTAAATATATATTGCTTTAACATTTCAACTATATATTGCTTCAACTTTTCAACTATATATTGCTTCAACTTTTTAACTATATATTGCTTCAACTTTTTAACTATATATTGCTTCAACTTTTTAACTATATATTGCTTTAATTTTTTAACTATATATTGCTTCAACTTTTTAACTATATATTTCTTCAACTTTTTAACTATATATTGCTTCAACTTTTTAACTATATATTGCTTTAACTTTTTAACTATACATTCCTTCAACTTTTTCAACTATATATTTCTTCAACGTTGTTATTAATCAAGATCATAATAATCTTTTATAATTATTTCACTTTATACATTTTTTAAGAAATAAACTTTTTTAACTATTTAAAAAAAAAAATTTAAAGATAAGCATATACTAGATACTAATGTATTTTTTATTAAGAAAACCCCTGATTTTGTTAGTGGCAGTGGCCAAAAAAAGTTACAAACATCAGTCTTGGTCATGAGCAAAAGTGATTGCACGCCATCCCTGATCACACATAAATAAATTTTTTTAGCAACTTGGCCACAGTTTTTTTACATGTTATTAGAACATTTCAAAAATGCGCAGAATATTGCTAAACTACAAATCAAAAAAAAAATTTATTCAGGGCTTGAAATAGCTTCTGGACATCAGAAATTGTGCGGCACTTGTCCGATAAAAAACAACATCTATTAGTTATTTTTTCCCATATTTTTTGAACTTAATACTTTAATAAAACACAGCATTTTTTTGAGCTAATTAATTTTTTTAAAGTTGACTAAGCATTAATTTTTTTGAATTAAGCAGCCCGGTTTTTATCATTTATAATAAACGTTGCATTTAATTATTAATTTAAATTTATATTTTAGTTTTTAAAACCACTTTAAAATTTATTTTATAAAAATTTTAATATAATAGTTTTTTAATGCTTATAGAAACCAGTACTTTTTATTACACTATTAAATTTGAATTATGTTGCATAAAATTTGTTTTCGTGCGAAAGCTTTTTGCTTTATAAGAGTAATTATAGAATAAAGTTTGCAAAGATATATCAAAAATTACATATTTATATAAATGTAATTATGTATTCTTTGATGATTTAAATAAAATGGATTTACTTTAAACAATCATTAAAGTTAATTTTAAATAAAATAAATTTAAATAAAATGGATTTATCATTATAGCTAATTTGTTACTTTATTTAATAAAGTAAGTAAACATAATTATTTATGTATTTATTATATTTATAATAATTTGAAAAGCATTTTGCTTAATGTATTATCTTTTAAAAAACATAATACAAATATTTTCTTTTTAAAAATTTAATTTTTTTGAGCATAGATTTTTTTTTCCTAAAGATTTTCTTTTTTAGATAAGTTATCCTTTAAATTTTCTTTTTATTTTTAGCACATTCTTGAAATAGCTTTCAAAACAAGTAAAGTATTTTTTAAATGGCTTTTGATCACATTTCTATAGATTTTATCAGACATCTCCGCCAAACTTGAGTATTTATCAGACAAATTGTCCTAAAAAAAAAACAAAAAAAAACTCTTTAAAAAAAAAAATTGAAAGTTTAAACAAATATTAAAAAATAAAAAAACTTTTCCTTCATTCACAAAAGAAACAGCTATTGGTTGTTATTGGTTTAAACAAAGAAAACATTACCAATATATGGTGCTTTGCAAAAGGAATACAATTTTATTTTAGGGGATCCTTCAGTTTTTTTTGTTATTTAACATAAGTTAATAATGTTAATACAAAATAAATATACAATAATAAAAATAAAGTTAATACAATGTTAATACAATAATACAAATAAAGTTAATACAAAATACCCTTCAAGGGCTTTCTGTTAATTGAATTTAAAATGAAATAGAAATACGTAATGGGAAACTATTATTTACATAAACAATTTTTGCAAAATTTAACAAGCACTGTATTGACTTGTTAGTATTTAAGATAAATTATTTATTTAAGTATTTATTTAGACTTTATTATTAGACTTTAAAAATTATTATTAAGGCTTTAAAAATTATTATTAAGGCTTTAAAAATTATTATTAAGGCTTTAAAAATTATTATTAAGGCTTTAAAAATTATTATTAAGGCTTTAAAAATTATTATTATGGCTTTAAAAATTATTATTAAGGCTTTAAAAATTATTATTAAGGCTTTAAAAATTATTATTAAGGCTTTAAAAATTATTATTAAGGCTTTAAAAATTATTATTAAGGCTTTAAAAATTATTATTAAGGCTTTAAAAATTATTATTAAGGCTTTAAAAATTATTATTAAGGCTTTAAAAATTATTATTAAGGCTTTAAAAATTATTATTAAGGCTTTAAAAATTATTATTAAGGCTTTAAAAATTATTATTAAGGCTTTAAAAATTATTATTAAGGCTTTAAAAATTATTATTAAGGCTTTAAAAATTATTATTAAGGCTTTAAAAATTATTATTAAGGCTTTAAAAATTATTATTAAGGCTTTAAAAATTATTATTAAGGCTTTAAAAATTATTATTAAGGCTTTAAAAATTATTATTAAGGCTTTAAAAATTATTATTAAGGCTTTAAAAATTATTTTTAAGGCTTTAAAAATTATTATTAAGGCTTTAAAAACATCAATGAATTTCAAACTAGAGATTGAAATGGTTTTTAGATATTTTTAGAAATGAAATTAAAATTTAAAACTTTAGAGTAGGTAAATATATTGAATTAAAATTTTGAGAATGTTTGTATTAATCTTTTTTAATACCAATTAAATTAAATTAGAATAAAGAAGAGAATAGAGAAATAAAAAAAAGATTAAAATGAGAAAAAATCAAGTTTAAAACATTTTAAACTCTATTTTATTTCAAAAGTACTTTAATTGCATTTATGAAATTAAAACATTTTTAATTGGAAAGTATCATGACTAAAATCAATCAAATAATTCAAAAAATAAAAGGGTAATACATAAAAATAACAGTAAAATAAAGAACATAGTAAAAAAAAAAGCAATAAAATATCTAATTACTTCTTACCAGCTTTTCCATTGAGTATATAAAAATTAGAGACAGAAGCATTTTGTACATCATCCCATAGATTAGAGACATACACCGTCACATTTACAAAATCTCTTGCAACCGAGTTTTCAACTTTATGAGTTTTCAACCGAGTTTTCAACTTTATGAACATAATCTCCATTTACTTCAACATTAAAATAGTATTTATTGTCTAATAAATTTTGATATATTTTAATATTGTGCCATTTACCCAGAGAAAGTGGATCTGATTCAATGTAGTAGCTACAATTACTATTAAGTGCAAAATAAATAATAAGCTTTCCAGAACCATCTTCATGAAAATAAACACCCAGATTTTTGTTACCGTTATTTTCACAATTTTCAGCAGAGGTTACATAAATAACATTTTTTAAACCTTTAGAATTTTGGGTTGATTAACAGTAATGAGGAGACTGCATATCACACTGAATGGCTTAGCTCAAGTAATACCTACCTTGCTTGATCTAGATTCTAAATTTTTGTTATTCTTTACCTCTTACTCAGTTAACTTATTTTCAAACAACCTTAATCACTTACCTTATTACCACTACCCTAAAGTTGACCAGGATTCTTTTCTTTACTTTCTTTGCAATATTCTATAGCCTGAATTTTTTTATTTTATGTTAGAAATTGTGCCTCTTTTTATAATCATCTAGATTGAGGCAGAAATGAAAGATTTTATTTCTTTTTGCTTTTTTTCAAGTTAAGTTTCACTCTATTTTATGGTTTTCTTCTTCTTGCGTAGCTGCTATATCCAACCAAATTCATTTATTTTGCCTTTTCTAAAGTTATCATTTTCTGGAAATCAAAGATTTTTTCATCATTACTAAAAATTGATGTAAAAATATTTATCATGATTTTTAGACTATTTAATCTCCTATTTATCTCAGAAATTGGGTTCTTTTGAAAAATATTAATCAATGTCGACAATAAATCAAAGAGTCAAACAATTTTTTCAAAACATGGATTTGATACTCTTAAGAGGATAAAGCAAACTTGCTAACTAAAAGTCTTTTGTATGTTATACATCAAATTGTATGAATTATAGTTCAAAGATTTTATTTTTAAATCGAAAAGTGAATTTGACTACTTTGACCAAAATGCTAATAGATTATTGATGGGTAATAAAGTCGACCCTATATTATTTGCATTTTATATATCAAATTATTTATATATAACAAGGGTCAAGAACACAGTTTTTAGGTCAAATTTTTTTTTTTTTTTCTTTTTTAGATTGAAATATGAATTTGACCACTTTGATTAGCGGCTGCATACTTTAAAACTCTAAAGTTTGGAGTATGTTTATGCTTAAAGTTTAGACTAAACAGGCTTTTATGATAGTAATTAATTAAATAATAATTTCTATCTAGAGAAAAAACTTTTTGACCAATTATTATAATTGGTCAAAAAGTTTTTTTATTATATAATTATTATATAATAAAAGAACCAATATTTTGTTCAGGGTTACAGCTTTATTCATTATGAATTTCTGATGCACAGGCGTGTTAAAAACAGTTTTTTGCTTTTAACTTATTCATTAGGTTAAAACTAAGAAGGAAAAATAGTTGCCAAAACATTTTCACATTTGGGGACGAGACCCATGACGTCAGACTTACTACAGTCAAAAAAAAAATTTCGTAAATAATTTCAGTTAATTTTTTTGTTGTTGTTGACTGTAGCAACTTAAGTCGCTCGACGTCAAACGAAAACAATCGCTGTCACTGCAGTCATGTTAAATGAGTTGATAACATTGCGAAGAATAAGAGAAAATCCTCAAAGAATTTTTGATAAATAGGAATGTTATAAGAAAATCATTATAAAAAATACGATGTAATTTTTATTCCAGTGTACTTACATTTACGTCATGCATAATTACGGCATAGTTTCTTTTTTTTTTTTTTTGGAGTTAAAAATTGATTTGCAATAGGGCAAAACCACCTATACCTGGCCAGCACCAAACCCTGGCCACTTTTCAAAGAAGTTTACTTAAATCTTAAATATTTAGTCTTAAATATTAGGTCTTAAATATTTAGTGGTTTTCCAAATTTTTAAATGAAAATATAATCCAACTTTTATATTTGGAACCTCAGTTTGTTACATAAGTTCATCGCTACGTTATTTTATCTGAGTTTTATATTAATCAAAATTATATTAATTTTGTATATACTTTGGCAAATATTCCGACCTTGAAAACAAAAATGCGAAAAAACGTTTCGCTAATTTATCTTGTTTAATTACAATCATAAAATTTAATTCAATTGTAATGTTTTATTATTTTTTTTTTTATTATTATTATTTTATTATTTATTATTATATTTAACACCAGCTCAATTAAAGCAAGTCGAGGACGCAATTAAAAAACTTATTCATGCTGAAACTGCGAAATGGTCGGCCAAAATATCTGAACTAGAACAAGTAATAAAGCAACAACAATTAATAATAGATAAGCTAATCCAAAATCCTAATGAGCTAACTAATACCACAACCAGTAGTATCGAATCCAGCTGGGTTACAGTTGCAAGCAAAAACATAAAAAAATAGCAGCCTATTGAACAACTAAAAATTATCAACACATTTGCCATTGAGCAACAGCAAAAAAAGAAGCGTGAAAAAAATGTTATTATTTATGGCATCAAAGAATCTGCAAAGTTATCAGTTGCTGATAAGCATATCGACGATAAGGAAACGGTTCAGAATATCTTAGTTACTATTTCATCTGATGCAAAACCAAAATCTGTCAAACGTATTAAATCTACGTCCTCTAAACCAGGACCAATTATCGTCGAACTTTCTGATGTCTCCGAAAGAAACCCATTATTAACAGCAGCAAAAAAATTGAAAAATTCAGATAATTATAAAAATATATTTATAAGCCCAGATTTGACTGAGGCTGAAAGATATTTAAACTATCAGTTAAGAATGAAGCGTAATGAATTAAATAGTAATATCAATTTAAAAACATCGCCCTTTAGATACGGTATACGAAGCAGCGGAGTCGTCAAACTCAAAAATATACAAACCACTACATAAACATTACTACCCTTCTTCCACTCTTTTACCAGCAAACTTAAAATACAAAAGTAAAAATCTTCATAACAAAAAAACAAACTATAGCGTTAATTGTTATTATACTAATGCTACATCTCTCGATAATAAAATGGCCGATTTAATTTCAATATCTAGAACGTTTGATTATCACGTTATTGCTATCTCTGAAACATGGTTTCGAAATGACTCAGTACCTAATATCGATGGGTATAGCCTATATCGTAAAGATCGTCAAGACGGACGTCGAGGTGGCGGTGTAGCTATCTACATTACAGACGTATTTAACTCTCATGAAGTTAACCAATTTTATACAAATCTTCTCGAACAAGTCTGGGTATCTGTAAAATTTAACAACAAACATATACTTATCGGTTGTATATACAGACCAAATGATGCCAGTTTAATAAAATATGTCGCTGAATCCTTCAAATTAGCTCATAGTTTAATTAAAAAGCCCTATGATGACTGTTTGATTGTCGGTGACTTTAACTTCCCGAATATAAAGTGGTCTAACGATGGTATTGAATCTTTTAACCCAAACAATCCTACTGAGTATGATTTCTGGAATATTTTCCAAAACAGCCTTTTTACTCAACATATCACATTTCCTACTTTCCAGACTGATTATGGTTCCTCAAATAATATGTTGGACTTGTTATTTACCTACAACAGTAATTCTATTTTAAACTTGTCTCCTAGTACTATACTAGGTAACACCACTAAGGGTCATTTTAGTGTCACTTGGAGATTCTTAGTTTCAGAACTGTTTACCAAAAGTGAATCTCAATCGTTTAATTACAAAAAAGGTGATTACGATTCAATATCTAACTTTATTGCATCAATCGACTGGGAGTTTTTATTCCTGCATAAAACTGCAGATCAAATGTTCAATATACTAATTTCTAACTATCGTACTGCTTGCACATATTTTATTCTTAAGATTAATAAAACAAAAAAAAAGTATGATCCTTGGGTTACCCCACATATTAAAAACCTGATCCGAGAAAAAAAATCCGCTTGGCATATAAACTGCTCTACCAAATGGGAGAATAGTGAGCTTAAAATAAAATACAATCGCCTTAATCGTTCAGTAAAAACTGAAATATTTAAAGCAAAAAAAGCACATGAAAAAGAAATAATATCAAAATCCCAAAACAACCCAAAAATCGTTTACAAATATATCAACAAACAATTAAAATTAAAGATAGAATTCGCTCTCTCAAAGATACTTCAGGCAGAATTATTGAAGCTCTTCCTGATATAGTTAATCTTCTGAACTCTCAATTTAAATCTATGTTTACACTTGAAAGCTCTGAAAATTTTCCTTTGCTAAATAAAAGTGGTATTCTTTCTGAATGCATTTATAATGAAAACTTGGATTTCTCTATCTCAGATATTATTCAGGAACTTGCCGATCTAAAGCCTTATAAATCCTTCGGATCTGACGGCTTGCATCCCTTAATACTCAAGATATGTGCCAAAAGCTTTGCAATTCCATTAACAAAAATCTTTCATAAATCCTTTAATTCTGGAGTAGTACCCACTCAATGGAAATTAGCAAATATTAGTCCGATCTATAAAAAAAAGGGAGATAAATTACTTGCTGAAAACTATAGACCTATTTCACTAACATCTGTTGCCTGTAAAATCTTTGAAAAACTTGTAAAGAAAAAAATTTTAAAGCACATTAACGATAATAAAATGCTCTCTGCAAATCAACATGGCTTCCTTTATCATAAATCATGCGTAACTAACCTAATAGAAACTTTTGATATCATTTCGTCCTCCATAGCATCTCACCAATTTATTGATGTAATCTATCTTGACTTTGCCAAAGCGTTTGATTCTGTACCTCACAACAGACTTTTGTTAAAATTAAGATCTTTCGGAATAAACGGCAAACTCCTACAATGGATTAAATCTTTTTTAGTGGGCAGAAAGCAACGCGTTACAATTAACAATACCAGCTCTGCATGGGTTGATGTTCTCAGTGGTGTTCCTCAAGGTTCTGTTCTCGGCCCGCTCCTCTTCATTCTCTACACAAATGATCTCGCAAAACTCACTGAAACTTCTGAGATATTTGCCGATGATACTAAACTTTTTTCTAAAACCTTATCGCAATCTAATTTTGTTGATCTGCAGGATCGTCTACGCTTGGTATACGAGTGGTCAAACACTTGGTTACTTAAGCTAAACACTTCAAAATGCTGCGTCATTCATTACGGTCGAAACAACCCCCATTACAATTACTTTCTTCAAAATAACCAAGGAATCAACCAATCTCTAAGAAGCTCTACTAAAGAACGTGATTTAGGAGTCATTTTTACATCTAACCTCAAGTGGAGCGCTCATATTCAAACAGTTGTCTCTAAGTCCTTACAAATTCTCGGTATGCTGAAAAAGACATTCACTTTCATTGATGAAAAAATGGCTCTCAAATTATATAAAGTATTTATAAGACCACATCTTGAATATGGAGTGTCCATTTGGGCTCCTTTTTTAAAAGCTGATATGGCTTTGGTTGAACCTGTTCAACGCAAAGCTACAAAATGGGCTTACAGCTTGAGGCATCTTCAATACTGCGAAAGGCTAAAAAGATTAAACCTACCATCACTTGAGTTTCGACGCCTTCGATGCGATTTAATCCAAATTTTTAAATTAATACATCGTTTTGATATAGGTAATGATAAATATCTACCAAAATATATTAACTCCGTGTCTCGTGGTCACCATTCTAAAATAAGGCGTGAGTATGTTCTAAACTGTCTTCCAAGATATAATCATTTGTATAATAGATCAGCAAAATACTGGAACAATCTACCAGAGCAAATAAATTTGTACTCCACTGTACTTTCTTTCAAAAATAGACTAGACTCCTGGTTGTGGAAAAAGTTTGGAACAAATATTTATAAAACTGGTTGTTTATAGTGGGGTGTTTCCCCTGCTCGCTGTATGTGTACATTCTATGTAAATTTACGGCTACAACTATAATAATAATAAAAAAACAAAAATTAATATTTTTTATTTTTTTTCAATTGTAATGTTTTATTTATTAATATTTTAATTTTTTTTTTTTTTTTTTTTTTGAGTTTTCATGCTATATTTTTCTATACAATGTTCTTATATCCGAAGATATTGTTGGCTTAGCATTGGAACAGCCACAAGTAGTCATTAAGACTAATCCAAAGTAGAGTCCGTTATTGACCAACATTTTTGCGTACCGAAGTACTACTCAAGCGCTGAGTTGGCGGTGGCGGGATTTGAATTCGGGTTTCAACTTTTCGTGATTTTTCTAATGTGGATATACATTCTTGCTTATTATGGAAGCATAATAAGCAAGAATGTATTTAAGTGGCTGTTTTGTAAGCAATAATGTATTTAGGTGGAAGAGTAGTAAGCAATAATGTGTTTAGGTGAAAGCTTAGTAAGCAATAATATAATCAGTTGGAAGCTTAGTAATCAATAACGTGTTTAGGTGAAAGCGTAGTAAGCGATAATGTATTTAACAACTCAAACAGTGCCAAAGAGAGGAGTATTATTGATTTTTTTTTTACTAATGAAAGTGAAAACTACTGTGGCACAATATTAAGTTAACTTATGTGCTTTCCTTGGGCTCTATTTGAGTGCAAAAACTTCGAATTAGCCGGAGATTTATATCTTCTCCCCTGCAATGGTGAAATTAAAGACTATTAAAGGTAACCGAGTGGTTGAATCAAGGCACATCATAATAACAAAGCCATTCAACACATGGAAAAATTTGTTGACAACTCTTATTGATGGTAGTAGGATTTTTTTTTTTTTACATCATTCCTTCCAACAAGGCTGAAAGCAACCATTATTTGAGTTGGAAGTTACTGGAAGAGAAAAGATGAAGTTTATTAAGCAAGATAACGATTGACAGACGATTTTAAATATTGCAGAATATGTAAACCAGGAAAACAAGATGAAGGAAAGGAGTTCCAAAGAACTGATGTTCAAAAAAAAAACTAGGCGAATAAGAGTTTGTAGAGCACTTAGGAAGAGTCACAGAAAAAGGATAAGACTTAATTGAATGACAAAAAACACGAGAATGAATTTTAGTAGATGGCACAAGAGACGCTAGCTCTTTATAGCAGTGCCCATTTTAGTATTTTTAGAAAAGAGAAAGAAAAGAAATCCTGTGACAATCAAAGAAGCTTTAGAGTCTGAGGTAGCAAGAAGCTTAGAGTATGAGGTAGCGAGGTAGCGTGAAATATTGCGCTGTATTCTAAATGCAAAACCTTTTTTTTATATCGAAACATGGTGTTTAGAGATAAAATATATTTTTTGTTTTGCAATAAATTTATATTGTATCAACAATGTCTTTTTTTTTACCGTTTCTTGAAATTATTATTGCAACAGGTCAATTTTCACCCATTTCAAAAAGAAATTATTTATTCTTACTAGGATAAAAACACCAATTGACATTTGGTTCAGAGCTATCAAAACAGCAGTTACGTTCAAGGCATTCACTTTCAGTTATTCCATTATATCCACAGTCCATTCTCTCAGATGAAATAACTTTTGTACAGGAGATGGCCAACTCACCTGTGAATAAATCACATTAACACATAGATAAATAAAATTACAAAATAAATACAAGGTAATATAAAAAAATAAATAAAAATAAAAATAAGTAATGATGTAAAAGGTGATGTCGCTTTTTAACAAAAGGAAAAGTTAAAAAATAAAAGAGAATAAAATAAAAATTAAAAATAAAATAGTATTTGAGATACGTCATAATAAAGTAACTGTTTTTTTAAAATACTTTTAAAGGTTTGAATTGAAGTTGTAGTCTTACTATTATTTGGGAGAAATAAGATTATTGCTTTGGATTATTATTGCTTTAAAAAACCTTTCTAATAAACTTTTATGGATTTCAAATATGGATTTCAACCTCCAAAAAAAAAATAAAGCTCTATCAGCGTGTCCAAATCCAATTTAAGTTTAGTGCCGTTAATTGTTATCCAAGAACTCTATTTGATCCAGGAGCATAAAACTTGTTGGAGATCCTCTTTAGACAAATGCTCTTGAGACTTGATTGCTAGAAAGATTAATATGATTGGCAACTAAAATGATTAACCCCCCCCCTCCATCACACACACACACACACGAACACACACCTAAACTTTCTGGATCCTTCACTGCTAGTGTAAACAATTAAATTAGCCAGTCAAAGTTACTAGTAACAAAATAAAAATTTGAAATCTAATTTAAAGCAAAAAAGAAAATTGAAATCTCTTTTAGGCGTTTAAGTTGGTATTGGTTTAAATTAAAGAAACAAAGTATAAAATAGTTTAATTTTTTACGGTTAACATAAAAACAAGTCCTCCAACAGTTTTGTTGATTTTTGCCTCATAAGACACATTATTACACTGATTTTCAAAAAAATTATCCTTATAAGTTGCTGGAGCGCAAAATTATTTTTTTAGCAAGAGAAAAAGCAAGCAGAAACTTTTCTAATAAAATGTTTTAAACTTTAAGCTGTTTGCATTACCACATGTCTAACTGTTACCACATTACCACATGTCTAACTGTTTTACCATCATTGATATATATGTCTTTTTAACTCTTGGTTTTAATTTATAATCGGACATTAATTTTTTTTAAATGTACAATAAACTTAATGTTAAAACTAGATAAAAAGCAATAAATGTAAATTAATTTTTTTTTTCCATGAAAAACTCGTGGAATTTCTTTACGTATTATACGGCTAAAATTTTAGCTTGAAAAATTCAGGATACTTTTATGGTTACAATGTAGGTATAGGGTACATTAGGGTAATATGAGCACCTTGGTAATATGAGCATACTTAAAGATTTATTAGATGTAAGCAGTGAAGTTAAAGTTGCTTTATGTTTTTCGAATCGACTTAATGTGGTGATAACAGGAATTAGTACAATTAGCGTAAATTTATACGCAGTAATTAGCGTATATCATCTAATTAAAACGCTTTTAAATTTTTTGCTTTTTTAAAAAAAATCATCACGCATGAATAATTCTGTGGCGCGATATTTTGGTGCTAAAATAATGAAATTATTTTTCTCATAAAGAAAAATATATTAGCTAAAAATCGAATTCATTTTCGTTTGCAAAAATAATGCATAGAAACATTTATTTTTGACTTTGTTTAAAGATACCATTTTTGTGTAATATGAGCATGCTCAAATTACCCAGTGCTTTTCATTGAAATTGCTTAGTTTAAAGTCCTAAAATAGCAGTGGTTTTTAATTGCTTCTTGAATAAAAACAAAGCATAGTAAAAAATTTTAATATATTAACAACACTAAATAATTTTCTAACTTAAACTGTAACTTAAATCTAAAAAATTTTAATTTTTATTGTTCAAAGGTTTGAGTTAACAAAATTGAAAAAACAATGTATTAATTTTTTTTTTTTTTTGGCGGAAAACATAGTAGTATTGTTTGAACAAAATTTAACTTAAAATTTGATCTTTTAATGATATGTTTTGTTAATCACGAATCCATATATTCCAACAATTAGTTCTATTAAGCAGGTTGGTCTTTTTTTACTTAATTAATGCTATTTTTTTGAGCTAATTTAAAGTGCTCATATTACCAAGGGGTCAGGGTAGTACGAGTACTTTTGCTATTTTTTTAAAACCTCTGTGTTTTTAAGAAAAAATGTCAAGTGCCCAAATATCTAAATAGATTATGAATAGAGATCCTTAAAAATTGTTTATTTGCAAAAATTTTGGATCCAGCATATTTATTTTTGAAAATATTCCAATTTTTGCTTAAGGTGCTCATACTACCCTAATCTACCCTAGTTGCAAAAGTTAAGCCTTACCAATTGTATCAATCATATTAGTTGCCTTTTTTTTAATTATATAAACAAATTAAAAAAGAAATTATTTATTCTTACTAGGATAAAAACACCAATTAACATTTGGTTCAGAGCTATCAAAACAGCAGTTACGTTCAAGGCATTCACTTTCAGTTATTCCATTATATCCACAGTCCATTCTCTCAGATGAAATAACTTTTGTACAGGAGATGGTCAACTCACCTGTGAATAAATCACATTAACACATAGATAAATAAAGTTACAAAATAAATACAAGGTAATATAAAAAATAAATAAAAATAAAAATAAGTAATGATGTAAAGGGTGATGTCGCTTTTTAACAAAAGGAAAAGTTAAAAAATAAAAGAGAACAAAATAAAAATTAAAAATAAAATAGTATTTGAGATACGTCATAATAAAGTAACTGTTTTTTTTAATACTTTTAAAGGTTTGAATTGAAGTTGTAGTTTTACTATTATTTGGGAGAAATAAAATTCTTGCTTTGGATTATTATTGCTTTAAAAAAGCTCTCTGACTTTTAAAATTTTGGATATTTTTTTTGCGACATTTTCTAAATTTTAACACTTATCATTTTTTTTTAATTTATTATATTTTGGCATTTTACATTCTCTATTTTTTTTTTGTTTTTAAAAATAACGGGTTCCGAGAAAGTTTTTAAAACTCCGATAAAATATTTCTCTGACGAATAGCGAATAATTGCCGGAAATGTTTGATTATTTCTAGGTGTTTGTCACCTAAAGTTAGCTAAAAACATAAAATAACCATTCTTCTGGAATACATTAATGTTTCAACAAAGCTTTTATTTTAAAGTGCGCAGGATTTTTCTGACATAAATATGTATCTTTTAAAATAAAAATTAAAACTGAAAATGTCTAGGATCTTTTTGTTTAACATTGCATATTAGTCTCTTGCTTATGGCCAACATTATAAGTGTTTATTGAAAATATGGATTTCAACCTCCAAAAAAAAATTAAGTTCTATTAGCGTGACCAAATCCAATTTAAATTTAGAGTCTTTAGTTAATATCTAAGAAGATTATTTTTTTCTAGCGGCATAAAACCTGTCGGAAGAAGTTTATTTGATCCAGCTACATAAAACCTGTCGGGCATAAAACCTGTCGTGGTTCCTCTTTAGACAAATGCTCTTGAGACTTCTTTGTTATAAAGATTTTGGCCGACACAAGGATTTTTACCTTAATTAAATTCTGCATAAAAAATAGCTCTAAAATTAAACTTTAAAACTTTTTGAGTGAAAATCACCAATTTTTAATTATTTTGTTAATTTTAATTTGATACAATAATTTTATACAAGTAACTAAGAAACCTTGAAAACTTGAAAACTATATTTTTTATAAAAATTTATTGTGTTGGCCAGAAGAACGACTAACCAGCAATGTTAAACAATTAAATCCCAGACCTTGGAAAAAGAAAAAATATATATTTATAACATTTTTTAAAAATGTTTACTTTGGGTGCATCAAAATCATCGAATGTTAGAGACGCAGAACTCATTTGTATAAAATTCACCTAGCCTCAAATGGAGTTCTATAACCTTTAGAACTCCAGTCGAAACATCATTAAAACTATTAACTGCAGAAGCTACAATTAAATTCGCAGTGGTTTTAAAATCGTCAATATCTTTTACCTCTACAAACTTATTATTAATATCTGTATGGAAAAGTATTTTTATATTTGAGCTAATTCTACAAATGATACCCTTTCTTTTTTAGACAAGGTCCAAAAAATGCATAGCTTGACCTGCTTTATCAGCCAACCTTCCAATTGTAATAATGTTACATCTTTTTCTCAAATCTAATAAAACTAGGTTGCTGCTCTAATGAAATATTGTTTTCTAGTTCCATTCTTGCTTGACTTATTTTTCAAAATTGCATCCTTTTACTGTATCTGTCTCCTTATAGTCTAAAAACTTTTATTCATCTTTCCTTGCAACTTTCCTTGCAACTTTCCTTGCAACTTTCCTTGCAACTTTCCTTGCAACTTTCCTTGCAAATCAATGCTTCAGAGTTCTCTGATGTAATTTTCATGATTTTCCCAAACATACAATTACCAGTTTTTTAAATCTTTTTCTACCGTTTTGTTTTTTTAACAATATTCTTGATTCACTGTTCGAAAGTTGAATAGTAGTTGCTTGCAGCTATATATTCGGAGGGAAATAGTTTAAAAAATGAAAAAAAAAAGAGGTTCGATATTCGATACCAAATCTGTCAGAGTTTGCTTCATTTGTGACAAAAGTGGCGTAAAAATGTTGGTAAAATGTTTTTTGCCGTGTTTCCGTTACATTTTCTTTTAGCACCTAAATAACCAAATTAAAAAACCAAATATAACAAAATAACCAAATTAAAAAAGTTTCTTAAACCATCTGTAGTTTCCTAACTAAATTTTTTGTTATGATTTAAAAAAAAATCTTGATTACAAAATCTTGATTATTAAATAAAATCAACTGCTTATTTTTTTAACATCGCTAATTTTTTATTTGATTTAACTATATATTAAAAACTTTTACTGTAAACCAAGAGATTAAGCCATTATGAAGTCACGAAAATTGCACTAATCGGCTTGAACTCCGTTTTTAAGTTAGATTTTGTGACAGAACCAGTAATTTCTTATAAGCATTTTGTTTTTTTAGATAAAATACTAAATAATTTGAAAAACAAAAATAAAAAAATTAAGGAATACTTGCACTTTCAGTTGAAAAAAAAATCAAAAATGATTAAAAAAACAATTAGAGCATTTAGAGAAAATGTAGTCGATACTTGAAATCCAATATTTAGAGAAAATGTAGTCGATACTTGAAATTCAACATTTAGAAAAAATGTAGTCAATACATTTAGAGAAAATGTAGTCAATATAGAAATAAAACTAAGAAAAATGAAAAAAAACTAAAAGAAAAAAAAAAGAAAAATAAAACAAAATGAAAAAAAGAAAAATGAAAAAAAAAGAGAAAATGAGCGGATGAGATGAGTATAAAAAAAATGTTAGAGAAAATTTTTTTTTTTAATTACCTAAGTTCAGAAGGATAGAGTGAGAGAAAAAAGCAAAATTAAGCTAAACTTAAAATATATATACAACCACTACTACATCCACTACTACATCCACTACTACATCCACTACTACATCCACTACTACATCCACTACTACATCCACTACTACATCCACTACTACATCCACTACTACATCCACTACTACATCCACTACTACATCCACTACTACATCCACTACTACATCCACTACTACATCCACTACTACATCCACTACTACATCCACTACTACATCCACTACTACATCCACTACTACATCCACTACTACATCCACTACTACATCCACTACTACATCCACTATTACATCCACTATTACATCCGTGGTTTGAATTGACTTATGCACAGAGGTTTTTTTTAAAAGAATTTTTATTAGCCATTGAAAGCATCTTAAATACATTGACTTTCAAAATGAAGTGAAAAAATAACAATTTAAACCCTATTTGTTACGTTATATTACCATTAAATAAAATCTTAATAAATTGTAAACTCAGGACTTCGGTTTTCTCCACATTTAGTTTTCTCCGCTTTATTTACTCTTTTAGTCGAATAATTTTTAATATTTTTACATGCAATACTAAAATTCATAATTACTAACAGCAGTTAAAGACTACAACGGTTAAAATATTTATTATAAACTGTACGTTCTCGTTTTCTTCTGCCTAATCTAATAAATCGAATTATGGTGGCGTTTTATTAAAGATGCTTACTGTTCAGATTACTTATGCAGTAAATCATTTTTTCTTTGTACTCTGAATACTTAATATAATTTTATACTTTCAACAGTGTTTAAAAAAATCTTGATGAGCAATTTTGAAAAATTGTTTACTATTGGACCCCAAGGGAAATTCTTTGCGACTGATGAACTCTTTGATGTGGTAGAAGACCGTGTAAATTTAGGGTGTTACGCTTGCACCAGTTATCATAAAGTAACAATTTTTGAAATTTTCAATTATTTTAGAAAAATTTAGCTAAAGAATAAATCCAAAGCAAGATTTGAATGCTTCAATTCGAATCTTGCTTTGGATTTATTCTTTAGCTAAATTATTAAAAAATCAAAGCATTGTCAGATCCAGCTGCCCATTTTTATTTAAATCTTTTTTACTTGTAGCTGATTTCTTGCATTTCAATAAGATTACTTTTATAATTGACCAATAATTTTTAATAAATATTTTTCCTCTGCTCAGGAAAATTTGGAGGATTTGCTCCCTTAGGAACAAATTCGACGCCATTTTGTTCATACCATTCAAGAGACTTCTTGGAGTAGTGAATTGTAGCCAAATCAGGCCAAAATATTGTGGGTATTTCATATTTTTTAATAATGGGCAAAAGGCGTTTCTTTAAGTATTCTTTTATATAAAATCTGCGTTTAACTTTTTACGAGTAATGTATAGTATACTTTTTAAACCACAGGAGCAGATTGCTTGCCAAATAAGGAACTTGGGAGCAATTTTTTCAATTTGAATATAGTTGAATTTTTTTGGTGATTTGATGATCAAGAAACATCGGTCAATTTTAAAATGTTAACATGTGACAGTGAAGGATTTTGAAGAAAATTTTCTAAAACTTTTTTTTGATTTAATATTTGATAACCAATACTTATTACCATCACAATCAAACAACAACACATTAACTTCCGTGTGCAAAAAAGTTAAATTTGTTAAGTCGTTTTTGAGTAGTTAACGATTAAAAGGTGTTGAATTTCATCTTGTTTAACCAATATATTAAACATTGTTCAAAAAATTTGTTTAAAGCTTTCAAATTAAACGTTTTTAAAGTGATCAGTTACTTGTTGAAAATATACTTCCTGAGCCTATTTTGTTTTTTTCTTTAAAGACTTTATTTGAATATATATGTTAAAATTTTTTAAGTATAAATATTCATCAGCGGTAATTGTATGTGGAGGCTCGCCAGATGCTTTAGCAAGTCAAATAGTTCCTTTAGGGTATAATTCTTTATTGGAAATAACTCGAGATTTATTTTTGACTGCATTTGCAGTTTTGACAATTTATTTGACTGCACTGGCATCTTTTGCTGCTAAAGATAGAAGGTTTTCTATAAACTTTATTTGAGAACATTGATGTGGTAACCCTTTTCATTAAGAGCAGAGGCATGAGCTTCAACGCACATTTGATTCTTC